CCTTGTCTCCCAAGCCCCAACTCTGAGCCTGGGCCTCAGTTTCCCTTCTTGCTCAACAGGGATTAGGCACACTTTGGAGGGGGGACAGGTGACATTGCCATGTCAGAACCACATAGACCATCCCAGCCAGAGCAGCAGGCCAGGACTCGGGGGCCCCAGCATTCACTGCCTCCCCCTGCTCCATCTCCCTGCAGAAAGCCCGAGAACGGGGGGCCAAGATAGTGTGGGAGCCCTGGGTGGAGGAAGACAAGTTTGGGAAGGTGAAGTTTGCTGTGCTACAGACGGTGAGTTCCCTTTGATGTCCCTGCCCCTCCTGCTGCCAGAACCCACTGAGATGCCAGGATGCTCCTAATTCACCCCATTACACCATCCCACCCATGGGCCTCAGAACATGGGCTTCCCCTGGGATCTGACCTCTCAAAATTCCTGGCCAGAGTGCAGAAGTGTCAGGGGCCACCAGCCACCCTTCCCAGGTTCCCCTGGCCTCCCACCAGTGGGAGGTGACAGCTTGTGGGGCATCAGCTTTGTGTAGGGGTTTGTTCAAAAGGAGAGAAGGGTGGGCCTGGGAAGCCGTACCTCACACTAGCTGTGACACCTACTTCCCTCTCTGCAACTCAGTTTAAATAAGGTAGAACTGGACTCCTGTGTGACCTGGGGCACACTAATGCACCATTCTGTGCCTCGGATCCTTCAGCTGGAACCCTAATCAGGGCCATTGTGAGTGCCGAGTGTGACCATTGGCGTAGAACACTTAGAACAGCAGAGCCTGGCACACTGTAGGCACTTAGCAGAGATGACTGATTCTGCAGCCCCATGCTGCTGTAAGGCAGAGACAACCTGAGGTCCCACCTCCTCAAGTCACATCAGGCATTAATCCCATTGAACACCCTTCAGCATGATTAGAGCCGATGCCTCCACAGTTATCATCATCAACACAGTTTCACTGAGCACCTGCTATGCCCCAGGCACTGCCTAGKAGCCAGAGACACCATAATGGGCAAAACAGCATCCCTGTCCCCACAGGGCTTCTGGTCCCCTGAGGCAGGTAGGCTGTGATGGTGAAACTCCTAAG